TGCCTTCACGTAAGTGTGCTGCAGGAGATCCGTGTTCCTCCTAAGTGAGAAAATGTGGAAGGAAAGTTCAGCTGTCCCACGAGCTGGCTGCTTCAGTCACAGAGCCACACCACAAGTGAATTTGGGCAAATTCTGGTGCCACTAATGTCTAAAGCCCTAACGTGCTCTTCTCCTTAAGACTAAGTGGCACTGAGCAAGAGTGAGGCTACTAAGCTGTCCTTCATTTCAGACTCTCTTCCCTGACCTGTGTGTACATTGACATTTAATCATGTTGCAAGTTGTGACAGACCTAAATAGCCACATGGTCACGTGCTGCTGAACACATGGCAAGCAGTCATGCATTCCTCACCTGAGAGCACCCGTATCCAGGAACTCGTGGTCAAAGGCTGGCCGTTCCATTTGGAGATCCTCCAGTTGTTGAAGAGTTCTTCCATTTCCTGCCAGCTTAATATTGTTGTGTACTGTGCTGGGTCCTGAATCAATGGATGGTAAATGTGATCCCACTTCCGGTAAACACACTGAACATCCCTCCATCTAGTCCTCAGTGGCATGGCCTTGGTCTCCCTCCCTTCCTGATCTGTCTCCACTGCACTTGCACTAGCTGGCCTATGCCACTCTTCCAGTGTAGGCCCAGAATTGACACTGGAATCTGTTCAGTGCAGAATAAACATGTCCTCTTTCGCAATCTATTTTAAAACATGCAGCCTAAGATTGACAGTCATGTCATTCTCTCATTGAATTTTCTGTCAATATAGGCAAAATAGCTTAAGATTAAGAGTAGAGGTTTTGGATTCAGATAGTATTGGAACAAGCATTAGTTCTACTTCTTACCTTGGGTGATCTGGGTAAATTGTTTAATCTGTCTGGATTTTTTAAGAATTTGAGTGGTGGGGGCAGTTGAAGGGAGTAATAAAATAGTGCCTGCGCAGTGTCTGACCCATAAAAGGCTCATTAAAAGCTGGCTATTCTGCATTTCATCGCTGTCATCTCCAAAATCTTGAAGTCCTTTCCACATGTGCTGCTGCTCTGTCCAACTCCCAGGTGTTCCGGACATGGCTGGAGGTCCTAACACCTTTAAGATCTAGCCCATTACTTTAGCCTGTTCTTTGGCATCCTGAATTTGTCATGTGGTCATGGGACCTATTGTCCTCTTAGGCTCACAGCATCTGGAATTTTCTTCAGCTGTATCCAAGTAAAGTATGAGTAAGTAGGTTCAAAGGCAGAGGCCTGGAATTTAATCCCGGGCCTTCTCTTCTAAATTAGCATCAATCTTTGAACTCGTACTCTCTGGCCCTGCTCATTCAATTACTCACAACTTTGCAACATCCCCCAAACTGTTCTATGAAGTAATCTCAGGAAGAAATTCTGGCTACCTACCATTTCTGCATTATTTTCTTTAGGGAACATGCTATGAAACATGAAAAACTCATTTCTTTTTTTTTTTTTCATAAAGTCCCTACATATAACATGCTTCATGCACAAGTCTGTAATTCAGCATGTTCTAGCACAAATTACAATCAACTAATATTATGACTTCATTTAACAGAATAATACTTTAAATTTTTTATGAGAAAATAAAGATATTTTACTTAGTAAAATAGTTTAAAATTACAATTGTAAGTTAGAAAAGTTTGCCTACATGTTTCCCTATAGCATTAACTCAGGCTGCCTTATTTATTTATTTATTTATTCATTTATTTATTTTTACTAAGAGTCAAAAGAAAAAAACATGAAACTACCAGTGAAAACCTGGCATTATACCTTACATGTCTGACATACAGATTCAAACTGGTCAGATTCTGACCCTGAGACTTGCCAGTGGGCACAGGCGGCATGGAGCACAGGGCTGCAGTGTATAGTGCTGCCGAGTGGCGGCTGGCCTTTTAGACGACGTGCATTTTAAGGACACTTGGTTGGCCAGAGGGCTTTTAGGACTGCCAGAAGCACAGGCAGGATAGCCGTGATGTGGTAGGTGGAATTCTAAGATGACTTCCAAGATTCCCATCCTCTGATGCACGTGCCCTCTATGGCCCCCTTCTCTTGAGTGTGAGTGGGACTGGCAAGATGACGGGCGAGCCCTCCGGTGACTAAGTTCAGTCTATGGCAAAACAAATTTTGCAGATGTGGAAAAAAAAAAAAGAAGAAAGTGATTACATTGGGTGGGCCTGATCTAATCAGGTGAGCCCTGAGAAAAGGTGAGAAAAATTCAAAGAGAGAGAGATTCTCCTTCTAGCCTTGAAGGAACAAACTACCCTGTTTTGGAGAGGGTCACATGGCAAGGACCCTAGGCGACCTCTAAGAACTGAGAGCAATTTCTGGCTGACGGCCAGTAAGGAAATGAAACTTCAGTCCTACACTTTCAAAGAACTCAATTTTGCCAACAACCAGAGAGCTTGGAAAGGAAACCTGAGCCTCAGGTGAGATCACAGCCCTGGATGGTCCCTTGATTTCAGCCTAATGAGACTCAACAGCCAACCTGTGCCAGGACTCTTGACCCATGGAAACTGGGAGACAGTATGTGTTGTTTTCAGCTGCCGCGTTTGTGGGAAGATGTTACGCAGCGTGGATAACTGATTCACCCAGGGAGAAGTTAATGGTAGGGAGAACAGTTGCTCAGAGGAAGCACAACTTAGAACGACTCTTTCAGAATAAAATGGTTTTCCTGATGGTTGATTTTTATGTGGCCACAGAAGAAACTTCACTGAATCGAGACATCATGCTGAGCTTTCATGAGTAGACACAGATTTTCTTTTCTTCTACAGCTGTAGTTCTCAAACATCAGCATGCATCAAAATCACCTGTAAGGTTTATTAAAACCAATGGTGGGGTCCCACCCTAGAATTTCTGATTCAGCAGGTCTAGGGAACTGCCTGGAAATTTGCTTGTCTGACAAGTTTCCATGTGATGCTGGTACCGCTGGCCCAGGAAACTCACTTTGAAAAACACTGCTGTGTTATAAATGAAGAGACTCTAGTTGTTTTTAATATTTGATTTGTATATCCAGCCTTTTCCATTTGATGTGAAAATATCTTGACAAGATTTCTTTAAACCAAGGTGAAGATAAAGAGAAGGCATAGAAATTGATATACTTCTGAGCAGTCCAAAGTGTTTTTTTTCCTCTGATTGGTTGTCTCACAACTGTATTTGAGATGAGAGACTAATTAAACCAGGTTTTAAAAAAAATTATGTTGCTCTGTTTCCACAGATGACAGGTCAATATGGGAGACCTGTAGGACATCTATGTTTTCCCTGTCTACCATCGCCTCCCCAGCTCCCAATCTTTGCTGCACCTGTCATTGGAGGGTAGCACCTCGGGGCCCTTGCTCTCAGCTGCAGGTGCTCCACCTGCAAGACAGGCGCTCAGGAGAAGCAGAGAGCCTGCGAACTGCATCAGTCCTGACAGATCACTGCATTGTGAACCCCCCCCAAGATGCAACCAGGGCATCAAACTGGGAGCAAAAATAAAGTCTTGACTGAGATTTGGGGACTTCACCAAGGACAAAGCCCAAAAGACTACTGAAGACAAGAAAAGAAGACAAACCTCTTGCCCACAGGAGTAAGACTATAAAAATCGTGAGCATCCATCAGGGCAGGTCCAGGGATGGGCAGAAGCAGAGAGAGAGAAAAGGTTCATGTGACTATGAATCTGACCTGAAGGGTGTTTTGAATTTAGATTACGACAGGAGCAGAGGGTTAATGTCATTTTAAGACAATTTAAAGATTATTTATTTGGAGGAACTCAGTATTACCATGTTATCCAAAATTATCCCAGTTGCTCATAAGACTTGCTAATAACCTGGATTAGGGTTGGGAGGGGTTGAGGAATCTAACTGAAAACATCTGTTAAAACTGAATACGATAATCATGTCTTGTTTTTATTATTTTGTTCATGATTCAATCTTGAAAGAGAGAACTGAGTGATTATCCAAGTGGATTTGTATTTATATGCAGAGTGTAGGTGTGCCTTGCCTTTGCATTTCAAAATAAAAATGACTGAGCCTTTCCATTAGTACGGTTTGGATCACCCTAGCCGCCAGCTTTTATGGTTTTATTTATTTGCTTTCCCTAAGGAGATACAGGCACTTTGTGGGCCTTTCCCAAGCTGCTGGGAAATGATTGATGGTTGGGCTCTGTTCAATCCAAGTAATGCGGGGTGTCTGGAGCACTGGTAATCGTATCCTACTGCCTTTAAAGACCACTGCCAAAGTATCCACAGCACAGAGGTTTGGCAACTTCATTTAATCATAGCAAAAGGATTACAAGTGCAAAAATGAGTCCCGAAACAGCCATGAAATGGGCCAATTCAGAAACTGATTCAGGCTGAGAAGTTGCTTAGGCTCGCTCCTTCTCACGGCGGCCTCGTCTTACGCCTCTCGAATTGCCTTCACCTCAGCTAGGGTTGGCAGTACAGAAAAGAAAAGATGCCCAGGGAAAGTGACTTTAGATCATAGAAATAAACTGTGTCTGCAAGGGAGAACCGGTGACCTCAGGCACAGGGCTGCTGAGTCCCAAACCATGGTGTTCAGATTATTCTGGGGTGGGAAGACTAAAGCAACAGTCTAGCTGGTGGGATCTTCTGAAAGAGAAGCCAGGTAGTAAATTTAGAAGCTGTCCCTTGTTTCTTTAAAGTGAGAAACTGCAGCCATCTGTGACACTTTATTTACCAATCGTAATACACTTTGCATGAAGAGCAATAGCTTGTTCACTGTTCAACAACCATTTTATGATCATAGCAGGGCTTAAGGGTGATTTGTGACCAGGTGTGGAACTAGAATTTCTCAATTACAACCTCAGTGTTAGAGGCTTCTTTTCATTCTGGGCGTAAGTGTGGAGGCTCCAGTGTGAAACCTTTGGTCCCTCTGTTCCAGAGGGGCAGGGAATGAGAGAAAGTGGGCAAGAAGAACACTGTTTTGTGCCAAAACATCCATCTGCTTGGTGCTCTCTTGCACAAGTGCCTGGACAAAGTAAAATTGTAACACAAAAACCACAACATCCAGCACGTTTCCATTAGGCAACTCTAGTCACTAAAAAAAGTGCAAATGCAGACTCCTGTGTAAATCTGATTTGCCATGCTAGGCCAAGCTTATTTTATTACATACATTCTGCATTCTAAGAACTAGTAACTTCATATGTAAACATTAAGCATACAGAGTTAAAATTCAAGGCCACATTGTATCATTGATTGTCTCTTTTATCTTGTGTCTTTGGCTGGCCGAGATCAACTCGTAGTGTATAAATGCATAAGTTATATAATTATTATATAAAAAGAAAAAAAAAAACATTGACTTGTATACTTCATTCTGACAAACGCACAGCGTTCGCGACTCGAAAAGGAAAACTGGAGCCACCTACCCAAAATGCCTACGTGATTTCTCACTGTGGTCGCCAAGAAGGCCGACTCTTACCTGACCCTGTGGAGGACAAAGCCCCCACGGAATGATGAGGTCCTGAATGTTTCTTTTAAATATCAGACAATTCCAGTTAAAATTTTCTTTTGACAAACAAAAAAAGAGATGCTCATTTTTGCTGCTGACTTCTACTACTTCCCCTTTCTCCGTTACGCTGTGTCCTTTCTCCTAACACTGGGGCATAACACTGACCGCGCAAACCCGCAAGTCTCCATAACTCATTCTCCACACTCCCCAAATGTCCTCAAGTCCAATCTTTACTGCTTGAGAAGTTTCTCTCCCAGCCCGTGCCACCTCCTCCTCTGTTCCCTCCTCTTCCTCCTCTTCCAGCCCTCTGCCTACAATCACACACTCACTCTGCACACATTCTCGGTCCCACCATTTGGCTCATAGTCTGGTAATACTGTAAAGGAGTTGGAAACTCTGGGTCATCTTCACAGTTGGAGAGAGCTGACAGCTCCCATCAAATGGAATGTATCTGATTTCAACCAAAACAGCAAACGCCGCTGAGTTCCATACCGACGTCTGCTGATGGGCTGCGGTCTCTCTCATGTCTTTTTGTTTGTTTGTTTTTGATATGTTTCTATCTTTAAATACAGGTAGTTTTCCTTAAAATGACATTATAAACGGTATGTTAGGTCACAACTGTGTTATTTCTATTGCTTTAGTTTAATCCCAGTTTGCATTAGCAGAATCCCACACTCTAAAGTTTATACACGTCTTAAGACCACTTTCTTTGGCACTCTGTCCTTGTGACTTCATGTTTCTACATACAATGTCTTTTACAAGGCCGGTCCTCAGTTTACATGTCCATATACATTACAATTTTAGCATCCTCCTTATTTCCGTAGTAATATTTGAGTAACTCCCTCCTGCTAAGAGTCTTTGGACCTCTTCCCTGGCTTCCTTCCCTAGCCCCAGTAAAGCTTTCTCATTCCTCTTGAGGCACTTTTGATTCATGTTCTCCAATAGAGTTTGTGGCGATTTATTGGTGATTGTACGTTGTTGGGAAAGGCCTCTGTCGGGTCTTTAGTAGTAACTGCCCAGATGAGAAGGCATATGGCCGGCGGGAAGCCTAGTGTTAGGGTAGATACCCCCAGTTGGCGAATTCCAGTATGGGTTTGCGGCAGCAAAGAAACTGGAAGATGTCACGGGGAGGGCTGGAGGGTGGGGAGCCACAAAGTTCATCTTCTGCGGGTGGGCGTGGTAGGAGCCCATGTACGGGAGGTCTGAGGGGTACTTGTACAGAGACGACTCCGGTGGATGGGGCTGCAGGGCCTGGGTGATCCCGTGGAAGTCGAACTTGTAGGCGTAGCGCTTGCCGTGGACTTTGGTCATGATATTTTTGTCATAGTAATAACGGAGGGCACGGCTGAGTTTATCGTAGTTCATGTTGGGTTTGCTTTTCCGCTCTCCCCAGCGCCGGGCAACCTCGTCGGGGTCTGTCATCTTGAATTCCCCATTGGTGCCTTCCCAGGTGATGCAGTTGGAGTTGGAGCTGTCGGACAGGAGCTCCAGGAGGAACTGCCAGAGCTGGATCTGGCCACTCCCTAGTGAAAGAAAACACCTGTGAGAACAGGGCCTGAGGTGAAGACAGACGTCCCCTCTTGCACGACACAAGTGGGTGCTGTTGGGGCGCCACCCACACGCCCTTCTGCTGCCCTCTTCTCCAGAGAACTGCCCTTGGCTGCACAAGAGCTGCCTCCCCCACCCCCAGGTATCCCATGGCCAGACGGACCGACACGGGGCAACACGGGCCCCCTTGCCTCAAGGAAGGACCAACTCTGCAATGCGGTTCCCACTCTGGAGCTCCTAGTGGGATTGGCGGAAGCGAGGGTCCAGCTTTAAGGGGCTTAAGGGAGGTCAGAAGCTTCCTTAGCATTCCCCTGCCCTATTCCAATTCCTCACTCCCTGTCTCCTGAGAACATACTCTTATTCAGTCTCCTCTACAAGCGACCTTATCCCAAGCCCCGCCTCTAGGAAACCTGACCTAAGACATGATCCTTGGTGACTATCAGGCTGCACTAACAGATCCAAGTCCTTTACAGAATGCAGAGAATCCAGACAGGGCCAAGTTCAGGTTGGTACCATCCAGTTCTGACTTCCTTAAAAGAAGAGCCAGAGCGGCCTGGTGCTCAGGGGATGGAAGAGCTATTCTTTCCTGTTTTGTGAGGCAGAAAGTGCCATTATGTGAATGGCAATAATGACTTAATACCATTTATATTGGCTAGGTCAAGTAAGATAATAAAAGTTAGACTTAGGAAATGAACTTCTAAAAGTTTATGGAAAAAAATAGAGAATGGAAGTAAACACCGTTATTTCTAACATAACATTTTGCTGGCGCTCAGAAAGCGATTCTGTCAAAACTTTTCCTAGAACAGAATTAACCCACTCAAAATGAGGAAGTTTAGAAAAAAGTTGGCGCCTTTTCAAACCAGATCACCCAGTTCCAGTATTTAGGCAAGTGCATCGTAACGGAAATCCACGCGTTGCCCCTGCATTGCAAAGCCAATTGTGTTAAGCAGCGTTTCCAAAAGAAAATCCGCAACAATGGGAGGTTGCAAGTCCTCCTGGGGAGTCGAACGAGACTTTGCCTTGGTCAAAGAGATCTCATTTCCCTGGTGTACACAGACAGAATTTTCTTGATCCCAACTGAAAGCACAGATATGGGTTTTATGTTTTATGAAATTCAGAGAAAAGTCGAGACACATCATTCTGGCCACTCTGTTACAATACTTTAAGATGATATGTGGCTCCCCAAAGCAGAGAAGTGTGTAAATATTGACAGTAGCACTGAGCACCAGGAGAGGCTAAGCCGCGTCGAACAGATTTCAGAGCTTTCAAAACGGATGGGAGGCAGGTCTTTCTTCCCAAACTCCAGCTACAGCACTGCCCGGCCCTTATTACCCAAAAGATTACCTTTTATTATAAGTAATAACAATAGATGTGATAAAATGATGAAAGTAACTTTAACTGGCAACTACTCTGGGATTGATATGATGTAAAAATCAATTATAAGTTGGTTTTCCTCTAAATTCTTCCTAACTTGCTCCCTATATAAATTGTCCAGCTCATAAATCCTTCTTTGCATGTTGGCTACATGGACATGGACATGTTTGTGAATTCAGCCATACAATGGCATCGTGAGAAAGGTCAGCCTTTGCCGAATGTATTTTGGAAAATGCTCGTTTTCAATCTAGCAACACATTTGAAATGTATTAACAGCTTGTAGTTCGTTGCAATGGAAGCCTTTGCTTTTTCAGAACCACATATACAGACTGTTCTCAATCAAGTTTTGTTGCCTCCAACATTTCATTAATATGCATTTAAAAAATACAAAGAACGGTATGAGAAAAACATATGGTCTTAGTATATATATACACATAGAGAGAGAGAGAGAGACAGAGAGAGAGAGAGAGAGAGAGAGAGTAACCAAAGGAGTACAACTTGAAAAAAATTCCATTTTTGACCTGGGAATAGGGAAAAACATGGATTTTTGATTTAATAGTCTAACATATGCTTCAGTGTAAACACATACAGTTGTTTGAAAATAAATATTCAGTGTCAGCTTCCTCCTATAGAGAGAGTAATTCCACAGATTTTGTATAAATGCACAGACCTGCCAAACAGCAACATAACACTCAATATCTATTCAAACCTTGGCATCGCCTCTTAGGAATTTGTCCCTCACCCACTTCCCCTATAAACGTGTGTAGGAGAGAACCAGTGGAGAAAAGTGATCTCATGTCTCTACTAGAGAGTCGGGATCTAAATCCATGGCTGGAAACTCAATGCCCAAAGGACAGACAAGCTTGTTTCTCACTCGACTATTTCATGCATTCGCCATGAAGACGCATTAGCTCAGGCCGTGGGAGCATTTCAAGGGTCTATGGAAATGAGAGATCTGTAAACAAAGTTCATCAGCTTCCGAACCTGAGAATAAAGCCGGAAATGCAGTCGATGAAAGTTAGTAAATAGTACAAAATGTAATGTCATGTTAAACTCATTAATCATTAAATTTACTATTCGTAACAAAATTCACTGTATTTGCAGGGTGTGGAGCGGATTTTCCTACAGGGCAAGAATTCTCAAGGATGAGCCACGGCTGCTGGGAAATCTTTGTTAATGGCAAAGCAAATGAGCTGCTCTCAGCCACAGAATTTCAAAAACAATCTATTACATTTTTATTTTACTGCCAAAACAATACCGTTTATAATGCATGATGAGGTGCATTATTGGAATAGGGATTCCAAACAAGGATGCCTGGGCTTAGGAAAGCCTACAGGTGGCTTGGGTCCCTCACTGGCCGAACTAACAGGTAAAAAGAGACGCCCTGAAAAGACAAGAGTTCCAATCTGAGCAGCATCGCTGCCTCCACCTCATGAATCACCTTTCCTTGGTACATCTACGCCTCATTCTGTCTTAATAACGTCTTTGCAATGTTAGTAAGGAGCAGCTAGTTTTGTCCTAGGGTAATTAATAAAAAATAATAATAAAAAAAAAACAGGATTGGGGCCAAAAAAAAAACCAGTGGCAGGCAGCATCCTGCACCTACGGGGGATCCCTGTGCACCTGTGCAGGACAGGGAGTGGGTGTGGCATTTAAGAGCCCAGAAGGTGACCCTTTAATTTGGAGGAGAAAAGTAATCTCCTAATACAGTTAAAACAAAAGGACAGAAATGTGTTAGCAAAGAAGTACAGTCTGAGCACAAAAGGGCAAAAGAGAAAAAAAGAAAAAAAAAAAAAAGAAAGCAACCTAAACGGTTTACAAACCACAGAGAAAAGCAGAGAGCTGCAGAGTGACTCAGCAGCTGCGGGCTTGGTGGAAGTGTCGCACGGGCCACTGCAGCCGTCAGCTGACAGAGGAACAAGGGCAGTCAGCTCCGGGGCCGGGAGTTGGAGGGGCCCCGGCCAGCACCACGTGGCAGTGGTTTGGGGCCACTTTCTGTAGAAGCTGGGGGCGGAGCAGATAATCCCCTGTGCAGGGCAGCAGGTGTGTCCTGCTGAAGTCTTTGCCCTGAGGCTCAGACACCACTTGCCGGAGGGGCAGGGACGCATGGCGATGGCCACACCAGCTTTGGAGTTGGCACTGCCTCGGTTGAATCCTGGCTCTGCCACTTACGGGACCTAGGGCAACTCCCCCAGCTTTCTCCGTCACAGTGTTCTCATCTATAAAACGGGGTGTCAAAATAGTACTATCTTGCAGGGTCACCGTAAGGATGACCTCAGTACGTGAATGCTCTTGTCATGATTTCTTTGGGCTGAAAACCAGAGTTTAAGGAAAAGTATACTTCTTGCCTATAGCCAAAAGGAAAGCAACTACCCTCCCCCACCCCCGGGAACACCAAGGGGTTGTTCTCAGGGCTGACCCATACCCTTTGAAAGCTTACTATGCGCCAGGCAGCATCCTAAATACCTTACATGTGTTAGTTTATTCAATCCCCACAAAAATCATGTGATGAGCCCATGGCAGAGGTGAGGAAATTGAAGTTCCAAGAGGTAGACTGCCTTACCTTGCCCAGGGTCAGCAAGGGTCGGGACCCAGATTCCAGGCTGCCATGCTTAGTCACTGCACGGCCACTGCTTTCAGGCCTGGCTTGTGCACACACCTCCGCAGCCTCCTCAAATCCCTCCCAGGTTGTCCCCTCCCTGGGCCTGGAATATTGCATGCTCCCACCTCCTGACAAATTGCAAAATATCCCTAAAGTGGCCTGTAGCTCCACATGAAGCAGGATGCATGCTCGCAGCTACCGTTAGAGAGTACCCACTTAGCATGGAGGGAGCCTCTGAACACACCCCAAGAAAACCCTTTCATGGGAAGATAATTTAAATTCATTAGAAAAGCCACGTTAAATTCTCAGCCATTCCAAAGGGACATAAACGAGCCGTGATACTTATAACTGATCCATGACATCAGAATGCAGGTACACACTTTTCTCAGCAGGAGAAATGATGTCCCAAGTGCACACCAAATGAACATTTGGGATAGAGATGCTGGGATGCTGATATCATCTTGCACATTCATGCCGCATGATGTAATGTTTCCACTTAAAATGATGAAAAAGAGTTTGCATCGTATGAAGAGCAAAGGCAGCAAGTTTGAAGTGATGAAGGATTTATTTATCAGAGAATGGAAAAATAGAATCAAACAGGAAAAAGCGTTCTCATTAATAGAAAGATAAAAGACACACTAGTTTCGGGGGAAAAGGTCACATGAATACAACTGGCACAGGCCTAGGCATAGATGGGGAGAAGGTCTAATTGATTATAAACTAAGTAAGTCTTTATCTTAAAGTCACTTGATTACAAATCAAAGTGTGGTTGTTGCTACTTTCCCCCGGCCCAGTAAGAAAAGTCTTAACAGTGTGAGGCGCAGACCTTTGCTCACGATGTCAATGCTCCAGGCTGCTTTGCTCCAGGACGCCTTCCCCAGGCCTGGTAAGTGTCTCCCAGCCCAGAGCCCAGGTCCCTCCACCTGCAGGGCGCACCCCAGGCTGCTGGAAACAGGGCTGCTGCCGTGTGTCCCTGCAGAGTTGGTGTTCTGCTTAGGGGCAAGTGACTTTCTTTGGCCCCGTTTCCCAGATAAGCCAAGCAGCAACATGGGCATGGACGTATATTTCATTTGGCCAATTTGTGAGTGAAAGGCCAGCCTGATCTTGTCTGGTGCAGCTTGACTTCTTCCTCTTCCTTCCTGACCTCATATTCATCCCCTGCACCTAGGCGGTTGTTAAACTCAACAGAAATCCTTCCTTTCTATTCTCAGTCCTCGTTTTCCAAGACCCTCCCATCCCTTCCTACTCAGTCGGGGGCAGTGTAGGGCAAGACAACAAAAACGGAGTCTGGAGGCAGTCAGGTTTCACATCCAGCCTTTCTCCTTACTGGCTGTGTGACTCAGGGAAAGTTACTTCACTTCTCTGGACTTCTGATTCCTCTTCTGGAGAATGGAGACAATGCGCTCCCTGGGCTATAATGAGGCACAGAAGGGATCTCGGACATAGCACACTACATTGGGGGTGCATTCCATGGGGTGGGAACTGTTTGATTGTTACTTCACATTATTGTATTAATGTTCCCTGAGTGTTACAGCTTCCGTCCTTTTCTTCTTCCTAATCTATCCCGAACATTGTTGCCGGATCAGTCTTCCTGAAGCATGACTGATGATAATCATCTCAAAGCACAGTTATTCTTTGTATCTGAACGGCTATGTGCCCGTTGCAGAAGGAGCAGCAGTTTGAGAAGGCCACAGACTCAGGGACCTGGGCTACAAGCCGGACGTGCACACAGAAAAAAGAGCGTGTGGCTCCGTGGTTTGGACGGTGTTGTGACTACGTGTGTCCATCTCTCCACTGGCTGAAAGCTCCCCGAGGTCGAGGACTATATCTCCTTGTCCCTGGGAATTGTTTATTCAGCGAATAATTATTGAGCGCCTAGTCTAGGCCCCAGGCTAACCAGTCCCCTCTAGCTGCTCAGCTGCTTAAAAAATATTTACTGAATTAATTAACGTGATCCGAAATTTAATGTCAAAGATGCAGATGCTAAAAAAATGATGGTATTTCATGTTCTCGATGTATAGATTCTCTTGTGGGGATGTACGCTGATTGAATCTGAATTTTTCCACTTCTAACCCTATTTTGGCCTCAAATATTTAGGAAGCGTACATTCCAGCTTGTACTTGCAATAAGCCTGTGACTTCTTGGCACTTGAGTTTGCAGTTGACAATATGCAACATACGCTATGAATTTCTGAAGCTGGTGCCGGCACAGCTGGTTCTCATCTGAATACAAACGAAGAAAGCTCTTTGGCTGGCACTGGAACGTGAGGACAGGTGACCATCCTTGGCAAGGAACTGGTTACAAAGGGGCCAATTAAGAATCTGCACTTTCTTCTAGCATCTAAGTTCAGAAACAGACCATCAAATGCTGAACAGACCATCATGATGCCGAATTTGAAATCTCGTGGTTGTAATTAAAGTCCTCTTTTTAAAAATATTAGTTATTTTATCTGCTCATGTTTTGGGTTGAATTGTGTCCCTGCCAATTGACCCTCCCCCAGTACCTCAGAATGTGACATTTTTTGGAGATAAGGTCTTGAATGAGGAAATCAAGTTAAACTGAGCTCATTGGTGGGGGGGTCCTGTTCTGATATGACTGGTGTCCTTATAAAAAGGGGAAATTTGGGCACAGATGCAGACTGCATAGGAGGAAGATGACATGAAGACGCAGGGAGAAGACAGTTGTCTGCAAGCCAAGTGGAGAGGCTGGGACAGACCCTTCCCTCGCAGCCTCAGAAGGAACTAAGCCTGTCACCACGACGCCAGGATGCCAGACTTGCAGCCCCCAGAACCGTGAGACAATACATTTCTGTTGTGTAAGCCACCCAGTCTGTGACTATCACAGCTCGGATTAGGTTAGAATGTTCTTTGCTAAAGCTAAAATCTTAACTTATAACCTGACCCATTTTTTCCACTATGGCAAATAATCCAGTGAAACCTAAAACTGAAATTTGTCCAGCTGAAGGAGCTTCTCACCAATACCAGTTTACCTTAAAGCTAAAAGAATCAAGGATCGCTTTATAAGGACAAAATCCTCATGGATGTCTCACCTGGATTTGCGAGGCGGCTACTCGTCGGTCCAAGAATCTGGTAAGGGTCTGCAGCAGAAAGAAAAGACATCACATCTCAAAGACACAGTCGTGACTTAGTCCGCTGTGACTTCAGACGTAATGCTGACTCAGTTGTGTTTTCAGATTCCAGAGCTGAAAATGTCCCCAACCCCAAATCACCTGCCTCCACCTGCCGTATGAGGTAAGATGCCGCCTAGGATCTCGGTGAAGTTTCTTGCCAGAGGCTTCCTACTGGGTAGCAGGGTGCAGATTCAGCCCCAGGTTCCTGACACCCAGCCCAGGGACCACACCACAGGGTATAAACAGGGCAGACGTGTGCCAAGCCCCCAGCCGGCCCCAGGGCCATGTTGGCAGTGCCGTTCAGCACCACAATGGCAACCTTCCACTGCGTTTCCACGGTGGCCCCGACACAGACACTGATATACTCAAACATACCGTGAAACATGCATTTGGCCATAAAGGAACTCATAGATCACCAAGCAGCAGCCTATGTGCAGGGGGAATGTTTTTCCCATTTTCTTTGCATAGGTTTTGGAAATGTTTTAGCACAATCTCAAGTCATACCGACTGAGTAGGCTGATGGTTTGGTCCCCATTTTATATATGGAGCACTCATAAAGAAGAAAAAATAACATTAATCTCATTTAAGAAGTGACGCATTTTAGAAATGCCCTGAGGAGCCCGCATCTTCTCTTAGGGCATCCAGGTGGTCCCTGGAACGTACCTAACTGAGGACGCTGGTCTTCAGTTTTGGGCACTGTGGAAGGAGACGGTTGAGCAGCTGAAAATCCAAAAATAAAAAAGACAATCAGCTGTAACTTATATTTGGCCACTTGTCTTTGATGCTGTGTAATCATTCCGTCAATCGCTTTAGTTACTAACATAATAGCGTAACTCTTGTAATAAGAAGCATCTTATGGTAAGGAAAATATAGTAAGGAAAATTATCCCTTTCTAAGGAAAACAAATATAAACATCATAACAAAAAAAGAGAGGCTATTTTCCATTATTTAAAACATTTATACCCCTACTTTTTCCAAAAGTAAAAAAAAAAAAAAAAGTATTTGAGATGGCTTACAACACATTAAAATAAATCATCATCTAAAATAAACAGATAAAGGAAAACCACCAGGAAAATAAATAAAGCCAGGGATACTGTAAGCATGGCCACGATTAAGGAAATCAACAATTATGTCATCTGTACACAAACATCCCATGAAACATGCATGTGTCCATGCTGAAATATGCTACATCGTTCCTTTCTATTATGAAAGTAGGTATAGCCCAAATAGAGAAAGAGTCACTGCTTTTAATAAAGATCAGTCGTGCTTTGTGGTCCATGGAACAAACCTTCCACGTGTTGAAAAATCATAATTAACCACAGAAATTATGATTTACTCCACCCACAGTTGTCCAAGCAGCCTCAAGGCAGGGGGAGCCAACACTGTACCCACCTTTCGACTGGGGGGTGGGGTGGCCGTGACCGGTCCAGGCTGATCTCCTGGGAGGCTCATAGGGTAAATCTGTAAAGACAAATAAATGGACTAAAAGATCAATAATGTCATTTTTATAATAGATGCTTTGGTTTTTTATTTGATTTTGTGTTTATTAGAATAAATGCTGTGTAAGAAAATGTAGTAATCCAAAGAATCATTCTGCTAGATTTGGGTTTTATTTACAAGTTATAATTTTGCATATTTTATGGATCTCAAATTCTCACCCATTTATCTGACAACTTCCACTGACAGATCCTCCCAGAGCTTTACTCTTCTTAAAGTAAGTTCCTACAATCGTAAGGCAAGACCATGTTGCAAGTTTCTTTCACGCTATCCTGCTTCTAACTTAGGCTGATCTAAACCTAGCCCTCCGTTTTCTTCATGATGCATCCAAAACAGAGTCCACAACTTGGATGAATCAAACCCATTTTGTTTGAGGTCTGTCCCTAAATCCATCAAAGGACATTCCTGCTCCTCTTCCTTCTCTTTCTTCCTTGGAAATGATTCCTGTCTTCTTGGCCTCTCACTGACCTGCTGCCTCTCTTGGCCAACCTCCATTTCCCTTCATAATCTCATCCATTTTTATCAAATCAGTTTTACCTGATGTAGTTATTTTTGTAGGCAGATGTCTACTCTTTCTTATTTTCTAAATGAATTTAGAATTTCTCTAAAATGAATTGCTTTTCCACTGGGGGGAGGAGAGAATGGGTAAATTCACACCTAACGGGTACAATGCACATTATCTGGGTGGTGGGCACACTTATAACTTTGACTCAAACTGCACAAAAGCAATTTATGTACCTCCATAATATTCTGAAATTTAAAAATAAATAAATAATAAAATAAAATAAAATAAATAAATAAAATGAATCACAGGACTGAAATAGGATTCTCCCCACAACACATCAACAGTGGCCTTCAGAGCTTAAGTACATGCCAATAATTTCTTTGTATTTATAATGTAATGTCACTTGTCCCATAAAACTTCATTCATTGCACTTTGCATATGCAAGTCTGATAACTATACTATCCTCAGTGTAAATTCTATTAAGGATTATCAAGGCTCTAAGTCATTTCAAATTTCTTTCAAAAATATATTCCATAAGCATTATTATGCATGCTCTTATTAACTATGCATATATGTAAAGCTACATGCAATCTTATTACACAACCATTTCAAAAGCTATGTCTTCTTGGATTGACGAGTCATAGTTCAATATCATGTGCCATTCAGGGATAACTAAAGGCCATAGCCAGACAGTTTAGCAGGTATTTTGCTGCCAGACACTGAGAGATGGCTATAAAATCTTACTTGGAGGGTAGGGCAATGTTATTATTTCTAAGCCTTTCTTTAAACAAATCATTTAACCTTGTTAAAAACTGGCAATTTATTGGGTCAATCTTCAAAGAGCTTGACTATGCTGCAGAAGATACGTCTCTTCCTATTTTCATATCCCAAAGAGAATAGAAATGATATGCAACGTGAAACTCAACACAGAACTGCCTTAATTTATTTGGTCTGTTTGGCTGCAAGCATTGCTACTAGTGTGGTCTGTGAAATCCTACCCTTCAGAGCTTTAGAGGGTTAGGAAATTTTTCTTTTTAAACTCTGCCATTGCTCACCCCCTCTCTCAGCTGGCATTTTTGCATTTTTGGACCTTAAGCTTTTCCCACCCAGCTCCTCAGATTTTCACTTCTCTGGTGTTGGGGTTGCACATGGGAATTAAATCTGCAGCCGCTACCCATTTACAGCTAAATTTCAACTTAAGTCTCCGGGAGCAGTTTGCACACGGATTCTCAGCCAGTTGCATTCTGTCTAAAAGATGGTTAGCCAGAGTTTCAATTTGCCAATTGTCTCAGAAAGGAAAATCTACCAGCAGGGCGATCATAACAGCATCTAGCCTAACCCAGGAGGAGAAAGGAACCTTAACAAAGAGCTTCTATTTACCGAATGAAAAAAGCAGAAATATGTATATATACAGAAATATGTTCTAGGTCCTTGTTTGTCAAAGTGTGGTCTGTAAACCAGCAATATCAGCAATACCTGGGAGCTTGTTCGACATGCAGAATCTTATCCTGGACCTACCGCTTCAGAATCAGCATTTTAACAAGATCCCAAGTGACCTGGGTGCACATTGAAATTTGAGAAAACCTGCTCTCAGCCATTTTCTATTGCTCTTGTTTAGGACTCTGTGCTCCTGCAGATAACGATTTCAGAAATGCTACGTAGAGTGTGCCAATACAAATAAAAAGAGTGGCCAAAAGAGGCCTAGATGGACCGCTTTTATCCAAGGTCTAAGTATGCTAATGGAACTAACAGCAAGCATCAGTAGGTTAGTCAGATATTACCTTAAATAGAAAAGTGTTGCTCATGAAATGTAATTGGAAAAAAAAATTAAACACCAAACTACTACTACAAAATTATTTCGAAACTCTTTATTCAAGAAATCCTTCTTAGGGTGTACAACCACGTCCCATCCTTCCTTGAAAATAAGTCAGGACCTACCCAGCACCACACTGAGTCTCCTTTGCAGCTGAGAATTTGAGATGTTTATATGAACAATGATTAACATGTTCATAAACGCATTGCCATGAAAGATAAGCGGGCTTTTGTTATTTTTCATGACATTCTGGTCCAGTGTTTCCTTATCAGCTACTGATCACATGCTGTGGGCACGGAGCCTCCTCCTGTGGGATGTGACATCGGGAAATTCTCAGCTCTGCCTTGCTGAGATGGGGGGAGTTCCAGCAATGACGGCTTCAGCAGCTCCACCATCTCGAAGCAGAGCCAGTTTTGAGTAGTTCTACTCTTAGCAGCTTGAAAAATTACTACTCCACGTACCTTTGCTTTTATCCTTTATTGACAATTGAGCATAAGTCTTCCAATAAGAATATATTTTATATTTAATTTTTGGTGACCATTTCACCACCTTTTCCATTTCCCTTTAACTTTGATCTTCAAGGTAATTAACTCACACACTTGGCAGAAGTTCCTGTGTAGGGGAAGGCTGCTTCCTGGCTTGGGCTCTGCTGTTTTATCTATAAATGACTGTGCTTAAAAACTGAACTTTATAAAAGCCATTTCCTAGTAGGCTTGGGGCAACCATAGAAGTATGTTATATGTCATAATATAGACCAAAAACAACATGGAGCTACACATGGGAAGCTTGACTGGTGTTGGCGCCTACACACCAGCAATTCTGTTATTTACTGGGAGCTGGGATTAGTTCCTGATTCTGAATGAGACCCCTCCCGACCACACCCTGCCCAGGACATCAATGAATCAAAACAACATTCTGGCTGCCTTTCCCCGGAGGGCAAAGTTCCCTCACGTTTTTTATTCTCCCTTCATCAGGCTCACGAGGAGCAACTCTCTAGCTCTCTTGCCCTCCAACTACCCACTTGCTTTATTTGTTAAAGGACTAGAATTTGGATTGTGGAAGAGGTGATCCTCTCTGCAGGATCCAGGCCACATTTACAGAGCTGCTCTGCAGGTCCCCAGGCTGGGCTGGATGGGAAAGGATGAGATCTGCCTACTCTCAAGGAATGTAGATGCTAATGAGGAAGAAAATTAGAGAGACCAAGAGCTATACACCTCTGTCAAATGGAAGGAATTTTTAGAGCCAACCCTAATGTAACTAAGTCTCTCTGTCTTGTTTTCCTCCACAACTTCCTAAAGTCTTCTAAAATGCTGTATCGAAGACATGGAGATTTGGGGACATTTTGCATTCCCTTCCTGCCTAGGTTTGCAGATCTCTGTGATTATATTAGAAATAGGTGGGAGCAAAGAATGCATTTTTAGCCATTCACTGAGATACAGGCTTTACATAGCACCTAACTAAGGAGTACCATGAAGTAGTTGCATTGTCTTGCTAAGCTTGGCTGTGCTGAACAGCACTAAGTTACAAGCTCCAACGGAGGAATAATTTAAGATTCCAAGAAAGCCCTGAAGAGCACCAGCTTCAAAGTATGAGTTCAGGCTGCATTTGCAGGTTTAACCCTCTACTCTCTTCTGATAACATCCCAGATACCCATTATTATACATGGGCTATCACGGTGATGGAGGAGGGAGGGATGGGGCTATAGAACATCCTCCTTGGGATAGAACTGAACTTCCACACGGCCTGCTCCTAAGAAGCCAGGCAGGGGGTGCACGGGGCAGTCAAACACTGGCTTGCAGGATGCTGTGAGTCAGACCTGTCTCTGTTTTTGCCACTTTTCCCTGAGACCTCAAGGAGCTACAGCTCCTAAAAAGTGGATTTAGCAAAGGAGAAGGGTGTTTACAGAGGAGGTAGGGAAAAGATTTCTGGTAGTAATGGCTACAACAACCTGAAAAACACATGAAACATCATAAAATAATGACCATCAAACCAGAGCATGTAAAGGGGTGTGCCTATGCGCCAGCACTTTCTGGGAGGAGAGGAGACCGATCTAAATGCTCGTTCAACGAAGGGGTCATGAAAGAAGGTATGTTTCAAATCAGGAAAATGTGGGGAAAGCACTAGGAACAAGCGTGGAAGAGAAGGGATGGAGCGTGAACAAATGAGGGGGAAATGTCCACGTGTGGTTACTTGCAAGGTCACTAAACAGTCCTGTCAACTGCGAAGGGAAACTGAAAAGGCGCAGCAGCGGTCAGGTTGCCTGGACGGGGAAGCAGTCGGGAGCTCTGGGATAAGTGATCCACGTGGGGAGTGGGGCCATGGCAAGAGGAGAGGGTGGACTGGGGCAGCAGCCCAGGGAAGGTGACTCGAGGCAGGAAGGGAAGGTGGGAGGGTGGTGAGGAAGCGCTGGGAAGGTGGACGCGGCAGGACGGTACCTGCCGGTGGAAGGAACCCCTGCAGAAAGCAGGCAGAGGCTGTTTAATTTAAACCAGTAAAACTTGAAAACCACTATGTTTCTTCTATCAGGGATTTTACAATGGAACAGCTACGCTGCAGAGAAAGGGTAGATTCTGGTCTAAATAGAGCTACCTAGGAGCCTGGCTTGTTCAGGGTTATTAGCACAATGATGCCAGCCAGACGGGGATTAGACAAATGGAATGGAATCAAAGATCATGACACGGCAAACCAAGAGAGCAGGATGGTCACTTGGGCCTCTAACCCCAAGAACCCTTCAAGAGTCAACACTCTCCTCTACTGAATGTGGTCATATACCCACTGACCATGGGGACGCCCAGTGACCCCAATGACCCGTCTGTGACTCCTGCAGTTCTGGAAATCAGCAAGGCAAAGCCGTCATAATGTTCCCATTTGCACAGTCATAGGCTGTCACACCTACAAGACCATCCCTTCCACGTTGGCAGCTTAGTGATGGATGACCCCAGGTACACAATAATTCTCTTCTCCAAGGTCAAATCCCTGAATGTGGCCACTGTAAACAGGCCTCCGGTGGGTGCGGTCTGATTTAAATTCTTTTAAATCAGATACCAATATTTGTATCTCTGTTCATAACCACAGTAGCAGGAATCAAAACAGGTATTTCAGATACAAATTGAGTCTTGGAAACATACTTTACTAGTTATGGAGACTTGGAAGTGCCATCTCTTCCTGGTCGTGCTCAAGTGACAAGTGACAGGCCCACAGAAAAGCAACATCAGGGGGACGTGAGAGCTGTCTGAGCCTTTGCCCTCCCTGGGCTGGGCACAGAGAAAGTCCCAGCCATCATCCTTATGGCCGCCCTTCTTCTCCATACACCTGGATGGCCCAAACCCAAATCCACCACATCCTAAAGCATGAAAAAAGTAGCTCCGGGATCCACTGTTCTATCTAAGTGGCATCGAGCAGTGAGCTGGCTGATCCGACCAACATGCTGTGCCAACCGATTCGGCCACTGCCGTGATCCTTTAACACTGTAACAGTAGCTCACAACCCCTGGCTTTGTAACTCAGCCAGAGGCATCTGAGAGATAGCTTAAAACAAACAAATACAAAGTAAATAAGTAAAATTTTTTAAAACCCTTGGCCAAATGTTTTGCAGATAGCTTTTATTTTTTTTTTTTTTGAGTATAGATGGAAACATATTTAATATGCTCACAAAATCTCTAGAGCTAGAGTCAAACATGCATTTCTATTTTCCACTTTCAATTCACACGGTGGGTTTCTCTAGGTCCAGTCCAGCGGACTCTAGTTGCTGGGCCTGGGCCACGTGTGAACGGTCTGTGAGATCCCTGCCATGCCGGAGGCGACTGAGTGCTCTGGCTAAGCCTTCCCATCATGCCTCCCAGGAGCAGGGGAGCAAACTGTTCTCTAAGGTTAGAGAAGAGAAAATTGCCAGCCGTAATTAGCAGGGCAGTGTCAGGGTGCCTACAGCCCCCAAAAGCTTCTGCCTTCCTGCTGTTTAGCTCACGGGGCCTCCAGTCTTCCTCATTAGAAAGAACTAGGCTTCTATCTCGGACCAGCTCAAACTGAGACCTACGTAGCCTGGACGTGCACTGGAGGTCAGAGAGGAGCAACCTGAGCCTAAGACACGAGTTCTAGATCCACGTACGAATACGGAAAAACCATCCCACTGCCCTGAGTCACAACTTCCTCAGCTGTGGGGCTGGCATTCCCAGCTCTTGGGAATCGCTATGCCAGAGGGGACAGATGTTTAGGACGTGTATACCTTTGGTCTCAAATGCCCACTCTCCCTGCTCATTATGCGCCCAGGAAACTTCCAATTCTCCTTTGGCCATTTCTCTGGAAAGCTTCCCTATGCCTTTCATGGGGGATTGAATAGCTAGGATCTGCTGTTGGAGCGGTGCCCCTACTGTACAATCTAGCACATTAGAGTCAGTGTCTGTCTCCCTGGCTCTAGGTCGCTCTACCGAAACATCTAGAACTTTAAACGTTTCCGCTGTTCACCCTTGCAGCCTCCTGGCTGACACAGAGCAGATCCCCTCCTCATCCCCCTGAATGAACAAGCAAACTTTCTGGAGACAGGAAGCTTTCTGAAGGCTGGTTCCCCTTTATATTCCCAGAGTCTAATATCGTACGTGGCACTAACCGGCACTTGGCAGATGTTTATTTTTGTGCGAATGGCGTATCAATTTAATTACCTAATTAAATCATCTGGAAGACATAAAGCGAGATTCAGATGTAAGTATTATCTAGTAGATGCTTCTGCTCTGACAGATTGGCTTTGTTGCTGGGAATGGATCGCCTGATATGGGCGTTCCTCTTGCTGTGCCCCCAGCGGGGGACAGATCACACAGAAATCCTTGCATTAACTCACAGAGGATGTGTTCCCTATCGTCAGGCATCCGGGACGCCGTCTTTGCCTGTCTGTCTTTCAGAACAGTTAGCTAAGGGGCTAATGTGCTCTCAATTCTGCAGTTCAGAGACCTTGGGTTCGGTCTTTGGATGAAATGGTTCGACTGAATTTAGTTTCCAAATCAACAGAGGCAGCGTAAGATTGTTTGGGACTCGCTTCAAAACCAGGGTCAGCTTTCTTTGTATCACGTGACTTAGGTCACGGATCTCAGCAGGACATCTGGGATGTCTCTCAGTGAAGAGATCACACAGGGGTGTTTTCGTACCTGGCCTAGTTGTAATTCTTTGCGTAGCTTCAGGATATACTGAAGTATTTGGAAAAATAAAAGCTGCACCCCCTGCAGACAAAAGGAAAGACAAAACATGTGAAGGTCTTTTGTTGTGGTTGTCAATCTCAACATCAGTGCCAAATCTATTTTGTCCCGTGACAACAAAGGGAAGAAACCTCCTCAAACCTGCCTGCACAGCCCTCAGGAGAAATGGACAAGGACATGAGTCAGAAACAGATTCTGAAGATAGACGTGAACCTGAAGCACTCCTGTGCCCCATTTGATGTGAAGGGTTTTGTGTTTTGAGTTTACACTTTCTTGCTGAAGCCCCTAAAGTGCCCACCCCCAACCCACCAGGCAATCTCGTCTTATTAAAAAAATTCTATGGTGCATGTTTTATTCTGCAAAATGTGTAAAAACCCATAAAACATTTTACAGAGCTCTTGGAGAGTAGTGCTGAAGAATTACAAGTATTTAGCCTAAGAGTTTATGGATCTTATTAAAAATGAATCCACATCTCTATTCAAAGCCATGTTTTCCCTTTCTCTCTTTCAATCAACGCTCACGTTGTTAGCTGAGAAAATTCCCTTTTTGCAGTTTGGTCCATTTGGAATGTGTTGTCCTGTTCATCGGTTGCTTCTGTGTTTAACAATAACAAAATTAATGAATTCAGAGCTTTCTTGAAACTTTCACTCCACTGTTAAAGAATTCCTAAATGAAGTGAAATTATCAGAAAATGTGTGTAGCTCACAGGTGTTTCCTAAGAAGGGGAAATTACTTTGTCTAAGTTATTTGTTATTTCTGGCCACAAGGTCATTAATAGGCTGTAAACTGAAAAATTGTACTACCGACTCGAAGCATTTTTTTTTTAACTTCAGCTTAAAAACATACCGTTTTGAAAATAGAAGATCAAGATAAACTAGCAATTTCATTGTAATCCTCAAACTGGGATTCACTCACATTTTACATTTTAAAATAAAATGATAAATATTTGGAAAACCGCTGGCTGACCACAAGTTGGCCGAGTTGGCCAGCCGGCTTGTAAGAAGCTATCCAAGGCTTCCTAGCACGTACTGCCCTCACGCCTTGCCTGGGTGGTTGCGGGGTCCCTGCAGCTAACAGAGTCGGGTAAGCAGCCTGGCCCATGCTTCCAGAGCTGTCTCCATCGGGAGGGAGGAAATGAATAGAAACCAGGAGCGGGAGGGAGGTTAGCAGGGACAAAGCATTGCGTTAAAACCCTACTTAGGCTCAGGCAAAACGAATGAATAAAGAAAATGTAGAATCAACGGTTAGAGACAGAAAAGGGGGCATTCAGTTAGTAACTCATTTCATATCCTCCAAAATTATAACAGAGTTTCTCCTTTTGAACAAAAGCTCACAAAAAGTAACAGACATTCCTTCCCACTGCCTTTTGCAAACGTACCAATTCTGCACAAGAACATTAAAGTCAAGATGAATCAAATGGCCTAACACTTTATCAGAAAGGAAAAATAACACTCCAACTTGTCCTGATAACATTCCTTTAAGAATAAAAATGAGAAAAAAGAAAAAAAAAAGGAGATTGCTAAGAGCCCCTTTAATCAGACATGCTTTTAGTTTCTACCCGGTCAGCACAGCAAGTCTATGGGGACTGACAGAAGATTGTAAAGCAGCAGCGTGAACTGAAGTTTGGCTAGAGGTGAATTCTGCACATCTCCTGGCTAAAAGGAATCCTTTGATAATCAAAGGGTGGGGGGCATGGGAATGGCTCAGAAACTAAAGGGCTTCACCTTCCTTCAGGCACCTCCCGGGCATCAAGAAGTACCCATCAACCATCCACTTCTCTGTCCTGCTTCCTGACGCGCTGACCGGTTTCGCCCTAAAGCATGCAGCCTGCAGAGAGACCCTGCGCTTGTGCTGGGGCAGGGGCGGGGCCGGCATTACCTGTGTTTCGAGCATGCATTAACCGTGGAGAGTTTTGTAAGGCTTTATCAACATCATCTGAAGTCAAATGTGGAAGAGGAGCTACAAAACAAAACAAAAAGCAACATCAAAATGAAAAAAAGAGAGCGAATTACCTTTCTTTAAAAAAAAAAAAATGGAAAAGAAAGACAGAAAGAAAGAAAAACATTTCCCCACTCCCACCCTAACATCTGGAGCAGCTTGGAAATGTCTCTGTCCACCCGCCGCTTGTTAGAGTGTTAAAACCTGAAGGGGCCGTCTGTGACTCAGGGCAGAGATGGGTGGGATGCCAGGCAAAGCACTGGAGGAGGTCTCACCCCCACTACTTCTAGTGTCTCCTGCTCACCATGCTTGACGTTTTAAACAGTAAAGCATGCAGCAAACGTGGGTTCATGCCGCTGACCGCCAACGCGCCATTCCCGTTCTGTCAGGTTAAGCCACATCGCATGACATGGAGCGAAAAGGTCCCTCCTTGTGGGTCAGGCTGGATATAAAGAGAGCTTCTCTTGGGGGGGATAAAGCCCATACTTCCCCTCGGGCAGGAGCCTCTCCATAGCATTTCTGTTTCAACTTGGGGTGTCGTGGAGACTAATTGATGTGTGACCTGCCAAAGCTCCCTTTCCCTTTGACATTTGACCTCGGTGGCAAGACTCTGGAGGAAGCAGCTGAGTGCTAAGATGACTTTTCGGCTTTTCCTGAGGGCTCTGACTACTTCTCTCTGGTTCAGTTGCCCTAAGTCATCACACACTAAGCGTGTCCTTCGCTCAGATCCTACACGGGGACTGGAACTGGGCACGGGCAGGACGATGGCGTCCACACACACGTTTGGACCCTCTGAAGCTCAGGCCAGTAAGGACCACGGCCACAGCGGTGGACACTGGAGGAGGGGACGCGCTTACTCTCTCTGAGGTAGTGGAGGTGCGAGAGCAGGATCTCGGCGTTGTAGCTCGGGGTGAGCCTCTGGAAGTCGTCCTTGGTCATCTTGCACAGCTCCTTCCCGTCGATATTCTGGAATAATAAGATGTCGACGTCTGGGAGGCCGTATTCTTTCACCGCCCACTCCAGCCACTGCCGGACGTGGTCTGTACTCCATAGCGTGGGATCTGGAAGGGGTGCAAACACAGTCAGTCGACTCCTGAAGAC